TGGGGTTACCTTAGCTTACCCTAAATTTAAGAACATGGTTAGTGGTTATCTAACAGCTGGGTTCCTATAATCTTGTAGGCAGCGGCTTGGCTCTGCCCCTGGCATTGCTGAAGACCATGGGCGACGATAACCACTCACCATCAGGTGGACCGTATGCTCGTCTGCCTACAAGGGCAATAAAAAAAAAAACTTGAACAATTTTTCTAATGAAATACGTACTCAACAAATGTTCACGATTGACTTCCACGGTGAAGGAATTACATCGTGCAGTAAAAATCAAACCCGCAAAATTATAATTTGCGTAATTACTGGTGGTAGGACCTCTTGTGAGTCCGTACGGGTAGGTACCACCGCCCCGCCTATTTCTGCCGTGAAGCAGTAATGCGTTTCGGTTTGAAGGGTGGGTCAGCCGTTGTGACTATACTGAGACCTTAGAACTATATCTCAAGGTGTGTGGCGCATTTACGTTGTAGATGTCTATGGGCTCCAGTAACCACTCAACACCAGGTGGGCTGTGAGCTCGTCCACACATCTAAGCAATAAAATAAAAAATAAAATGTAAACTCAAGTCAAACGAATTGCCAAACCTCGGCACACTAATAAGTTTTTCTGTGTGATAAAAAATCAAGTAGCTAACAAGATAACGTCTTTAATTGAAAATTAGACGGTAGTTAGCATAATATTTCAATTTCGGAGGACAATACGATAGTCGTCCGTGACCACGAAAACTATAAATTATTGGAAACATCTGAAATAATATACGGACAAAAAAAATACAAGATTTAATTTTAGTTATTGTTTTTATTTCACACTAATTTTTACTTTATTTTGTGCCCAATAAGTTCAGTGAGTATTAACTAATAGAAATATGAAATACATTAATTTACTGGTTGATTATTTCCTTTAAATTTTATTTCCTTACCGAACGCATCATATTCAGTACGTAGATGGAGAATATAAAACTAATAACCGTATTCGAAATCGTTGTATATAATGGCACACCATTGAAAATCGTTACACTTTCTAAAGCAAACACAGTTATAATAATTTGCGTGTATGCGTAATGACTGACTACTTTCGAGTAGAAGGTAAGTTTCTTCAGAAAACTGTCACGGAAAATTGCTCTCGACTTTCCAGCTATTGATACTAATGAGATCATTATTAATATATTCTTATTTTCTTATCACAGCCTAAAATATTTACGTTTCAGACTGTTTAATAATGATAATTGTATACTTGATCTAGAAAAAAACAAATAAATAAATAACTTAATTTTTAAACAAATGCAAAAAATCGCATTGAATTGGTGCTTTCTATTGTTATATGTCATATTTCAAATGACAATTGCTTTAAGACAGATATAAAAATTCGGATTATAATGGAAAATTTTATTCGAAGTTACAAACCGATCAAGTAAAGAAGGAAATATCACAGGTATATAATATGACCAACGCTTATTTTTTCAAATCAGGCAGTTCTTTTTCTAATTAACGATGCTTCAACAGCAAATTGAAAGATTGCACATAGTTTTGGCTAATCCCAAGATAAACAAACCGTGAGCAATGAATGGGAGGAACCGCCGGCGATCGTTAGATACGGACCGCGGGCGCCAATGTCGAATTCAATGCCACGCATTGTTAAGTCTCGGAAGGAAGCTAAGCCAACGCTTTGTTAAATATTAAAGACGCTATCCACAGCAGCGAAGACAAAGGTGCTTCACTCGATATCGTTGGAAGAGAAAATTACGTTTCCTATTTGGATTATTTTTTTGTACAGATGTTAATGCGTACCCTGTGTTGTATTGCGAATGTAATGTAGTAAGTACTATTTATTCTGTTTGACGCGCAGCTAGAGACGTTTCAACCACTGACATACAATTGAGACAATATAATTTAGCCATCTTAAATTGGGAGATCGTATGCTAATTGGTCTTGATGTCCGTGGGCGCCAGTTATCACAATTAAGAGCCATAAGTTAGTGTGCTCCCCTACCCCGATAAAGAATATATAATTCATAAGATGACGAAGATCACATTGTATTTTTTTTTGCTGAATACTGGACATTTAAAAATAAATTATTTAACATGTTAAAATACTTATTACATATAAAAACAAAGTTAAGTATACTATAGAATTTTTTTTTGTTAATTCAACTTTAAATAGCCTTTTGTGTTGTGGTATTTTACTTAACATTCAATTTGATACATGCAATTTTTGAGAACACCCTTTAGGCTAAAAACATATCATATCCAATCGTAAATAATAACTATACAACTGTATCAATGGAACTAATGAATAAATAAAACAAGGCGACGATGGGATGTTACCAGTCGCGAATGGTAATAATAGGCAAGCTTTCACTGTTCCCATTGTTTCGGTTTTATAATGCGGTTACGTGTTACAAGACCGTAGAAAGTTTGACAATCGTATCAATATAGTTAGTGATATTAATACGTGAAGCAAAAACTTTGTATCCCTTTTTAGGAAAATTGCGCGGACGGAGGAGTATGAAATTTTCCATATTTATAGAGAATATAGAGAAGAAGTGCACAATGCTAATATTTTTTTTAAATAATGCATAAAAGATACATTAAATCAATAAAGAAAACATTACACACACTACATACCATTTGACGCACACACGCATGGATACTAAGTATTTATTGTCCAACTTTTGTTCTTGACGTCTGTGGTCAAACTGAGAATAGATTAAATATTGTTTGTCTTTATTAATATTTTTTTTTTAGTGTAGCCTTGGTGAAATTTGTGATTATAGAAGTATAAAATACAATCATAATAGTGTACAAACTTACAATTCCAATTAATTATAGTCGAATTTCGACTACTGTCTCTAGTCAATATAGTTAGTGATATGGTCATTATAGTTGAAATGAAACTAAGAACAGGAGTTAATGCGGAGCTCATTGGTAGGTCGCAAGTAGTAGGAGCTAATGCTTATGTATGATGATAGCCTTTGGGTTTTTCAAAAGAAATTTTGCAAAGTTGGATGATGGATTTCACTATGGTACACCGCTGTACAGATGCCGTGAATGATGAATAAGGTGGGTACCTTAGGAAAAAAGCCGGAGTCTCAAAGCGTATGACTGCTTCGTAGTAGAATTAGGCGTGACGTGACGGTGGCACCTATCCGTGCGGACTAGTGGACTAGTGGTATACTGGTGGTAGGACATCTTGTGAGTCCGCGCGGGTAGGTACCACCATCCCGCCTATCTCTGCCGTGAAGCAGTAATGCGTTTCGGTTTGAAGGGTGGAGCAGCCGTTGAGACCTTAGAACTTATATCTCATTTACGTTGTAGATGTCTATGGGCTCCAGTAACCAATTAACACCAGGTGGACTGTGAGCTCGTCCACCCATCTAAGCAATAAAAAAAACTTCAATACCCCTAAATACCAGAAAACTATTGAAATAAAGAAGAAGATACGCGACATAGCGTTTAGGGAATACAGTAGGAAGAAGTTCATACTAGATCCGGATCGTATTTGGCAATAAACGGAAACTCTAAAAACGTTTCTAAATTTCTATTACGCAGGGACGGGGCGAAGCGTGGATGTCGATAATTTTTTTTAAATCTTGCTTCGGTAAGCACGTGTCGTCTCATTAATTAAGTTGCACAACGTTATTGGTTTTATAAGCTTAATCATCACGAAGTTATTGAATAACCTGAGTTCACGAATAACTGAATTGTAGTAACGAGTCACGCGAAGTTACTACACGTGTTTGTTATATATTTTTTTTGTTTGTTACATATTATACTACATTTTTTAGAGTTTTTCGTGGTATTTTTTAGTAAATGACGTAATGAATTTGAATGAATAAAACATGTAGTGAAATCCAAAGAAGAGATGGTCTCAAAATCTGAAAATATACTTTAACTACTATACTATACTACATTTATGCATTTTATTTGAAGAAATCTATGTATACTATTATATTATATTATTATATTAGAACAGTAGTCAAAATTTCACCTTAATCACTCGCAACACATTTTCGATTATTAGCTATCACATTTTCGTCATTAAGATTTAATTTTATTCTTATAACGTTGAAAAAAAAATTTATAATCGGAATAGACAAACAGACGTGAAAAATCTGAACTGTTTTTCATCGTAAATATATCAGATATGAATGAACTATTTGAACCAATTTAAATTCCGTTTCAATCTTTAGCTCAATCAATCTTGGTCATTTTTGGGGACGGCTGTAGAAACAAAGAAAGACAGCCAAAACGTTGGGAAGATGAAATAAAGAGTGTAGCCGGCCCGCATTGGAGTGGAACGGCCAAAAAATAGAGAATATTGGCAATCTTTAGAGGAGGCCTTTGTCGAGAGACAAGCTGTTTTTAAAACAACACCGAACACCGGACGGAATAATTGATTATAAGTTGCATTTAAATTTAATTTATTATTAAGTAATTTATTAAGTTAGTAATTAGTACGTAAAACAGCAATAAAGGCTTATTATCTATATATTAATACGTGAAGCAAAAACTTTGTATCCCTTTTTACGAAAATTGCGCGGACTGAGGAGTATGAAATTTTCCACACTTATAGAGAATATAGAGAAGTGCACAATGCTAATTTTTTTTTTAAATAATGCATAAAATATACATTAAATCAATAAAGAAAACATTACACACACTACATACCATGTATCTGACGCACACACGCATGCATACTATTTATTGTCAAACTTTTGTTCTTGACGTCTGTGGTCAAATTGAGAATAGATTAAATATTGTTTGTCTTCATTAATATTTTTTTACAGTGTAGCCTTGGCGAAATTTGTGAATATAGAAATATAAAATATAATCATAATAGTGTACAAACTTATTATACAATTCCAATTAATTATAGTCGAATTTCGACTACTGCGGGACCTCTAGTTATTATTAAGTTCCTTTTAATTTGAGCAACATATCAAAATGTATTTAGGGCATGTTGTTCTGTTATGTTAATTGTATACTTTTATTGTTTCAGCCTAGGCCCGTTCGAGGCAGTGACTGGAAGCGAAATGGTGTCTAGACGTCGAATATTATCGCGGTCACGCGACAACCTGTCGCAAACACTCACTCAGGAAGAGGAGGAAGACGTATGGTATCAAAAGGATAAGCTTTATAAGGTAAGATGAGTATTGATGATAACATTTTATCAAATCACCTGATGTATATTTTTGTTGTCTATGAAGACAGGCTAAGATAGGCAGGCGGCCACTTGACGGTGTGCGGTCATAGTCACTCATGGATGGCACTAATGCCAGGTACTCAGACTTACTCAGAGTTCTTAAAAAGGGTATGAGTTCTCGGAACACACATTTTCTATTCCGTATTTTTATGAATATCATTGAAGAACTCCTCATATGTTTTAATGGCCTAATTAGTGTTACGAGTAATATAAGTTCATGTCACTGTTTTAAAAACGATCTTTTCATTAAAATCGTTTATCAAATAAAAGCAATCTTCATCTTAAATGTTGCACAAGCTAAGAATTCTGTTGCTAGACAGGTTAATAAAATTAAGGCATCCACGTTCTCGCTGATCGAGACGTTAGATGCACTAGCTGATGACATTGTTTTGAAATTGAATGTGGTTTTGGCAGAGCGCTCTACTTCACGGAAATACCAGTTAATATTATACTCAAAAACATAAGTCGCGTTATTTCGAAGCATGTAGTGTTAATAATATTATCATATCAGGCTAATAGTTGTCGACCAAGTAATAGGCTTCGTCGACATTTGAATATTGTGCCGAAGATCGTGTATTTTTGTTTTAAATTATTTTTTGTCTTTTGCGTTTAATTTCATATAGACTGACCTTTTTTTTATTGCTTAGATGGGTGGACAAGCTCACAGCCCACCTGGTGTTAAGTGGTTAAATCTACAACGTAAATGCGTCACCCACCTTGAGATATAAGTTCTAAGGTCTCAAGTATAGTTACAACGACTGCGCCACCCTTCAAACCAAAACGCATTACTGCTTCACGGCAGAAGTAGGCAGGGCGGTGGTACCTACCCGCGCGGACTCACAAGAGGTCCAACCACCAAATGACCTAATTAATAATGGGATTTTGAGGTCTAGCAATTTTCAGTAGGATACTTTAAAATGTTGAAAAAAAAACACATTTGGACGATCTGGTACATTGAAACGTTGATATTTCACTTTGGTTCTCATATCTACAAAAAAAAATATGGTGCGATGGACTGAAGACTAAATTTCTTATTTAAGCTCGTTGTGTCAGATGTAATGACAAGGCGTCCAAGCATAATGGACGTCTGTATAATACTTTCCAACCCATCAATCACGAAGAGTATTTTGAATTCTTGCCGTCCTGGGAAATAACATCCAATATAAAACCTACAGCATTTCGTTGTTATACTGATTATTGTAAAATTTAGGTTTGTGTTTCGATTTCAAAATAATATAAGCATACTAAAATAATTATTTTAGTAATAATAATTTTGTATCTTTGAATGTTTGTTACCCAGTCGGGTAAATGGCGGCACAGATATGGATGAAATTTCACAGAACAATAGTTTATAACCTGGATTAACACACAATACAGCTCAACATAGTAAATGACTTGACCCGGGTAGTCCCAAATATATATACTATAATAAATAGGACCGTTTGTTAGTGATTTTACGCACATCGTAATCTATAAATTGACTAGTTCTTTAAGGTGACACAAGCATATTTTTCCCTCGGAAAACGTAATATATTTAAATCTTTCTTAATTACAATTCAACCTGTGTAAAACCACACAGCGAGTCTAGTAATGTTTTAAAGAAAAAGAGATTGAATAAGAGACGACTGTTTTGTTTGACAAATCAAATAAGTAACCAGTGTACAAATTAGTGTAAGAAAAGAAAGAAAAAACCGATGTCCTCAAGTATTAAGAGTATTAGCTAGTATTGTCAATGATTCATATTAACTAAAATGCACCGCACTTATGTGAATCTTACTCTTAAGTAAATCGTGCTAAGCCAATTTTCGTTGTGCAAAAGAAGAATCAATTTTGTATTTGATTATCAATTCATTAAATTAATTTAAGTTAAAGTGAAAAGCACAGTAATTTGCAAAGCAATTCTCTAACCGCAAAACTTAAGTCACGTACCTTACCCGTTGTCTTTAGATCGACATTGTATTACACAAGTTTGACAAATTGCGGTTAATTAACTAAATTCGCAACCTAAAAACAGGCATCAGCATCGCTTGTTCCGCGTGCATATTATGTTTTCCTTTCCTTTGTTTATGATTGTGTTTTTGTAACAATTTCCGACTGCCGCTATTAGGGACGTGGGAATAATTCGCATAAAACAAAGTCTAACGCTTACTTCGTTTCATTTAACATCGATGCCTTTTGATATTTTCAATGAAATGTTTTCCTTTACCAGTTTTCTTGTTAGTCTTTCGATTGTTATGCTAAGAAATGAATCAATGTAATTGTAGTTTTGTAAAATAGCTTCTTTAACTGGTTCCACAATAGTATCTAAGTTGTTATTGCTTTGTTCTAAATCTTTTCCGTTTTCACCAAAGTTTTCTCCTGTATTATACTTGCGGTTGTAATGTAATGAAAGCTTATAATTTTCAATGTCACTTTCATAGAAAACAAAGTCTTGATACTTTATTAGTTAGGCGTAAATCTCTTGTGGTTTCAACTAGAGATCACTGTGTTGGTCTGAAATTGGTTGTTGAATTTTTTTTGTTGGATTTTATTGATTGATATTTGTGGTGTCTTTATGAATTGTAGAATTGGAATTAATATTGAGGATGAATAAGAATTTTATTCCAATCAACTCTTACTTTGTTGTGAAGAAAGTTTTTACTTCTTATATCTACAGCTTCAATCATGATGTTGGCTTCATACACACAAAATATAAAAGATTCTTTAAAAGCAAATAAACAAACAAACAAGACATTAATTAACTCCGGTACTATCACAGTCAATTTAAATTGCTACGATCCTTAGTAATTTGGTATTAATTAAGCATCAGTTACATAATTTCAAGACCTGATATAAAATATGGAGATAATTGTCCAATATACGAATTCATAAAAAAAACAAAAAAGAAACAATTGATACAATTGATACATTACCCGATTCCACTAATACAAATGACCCAGTCATAAATTGTCGACCAGACAGACATAAGCCGACAGGTTACAATTCTGCTCGATTAAGATCTAGTGACTGCTCGTGACCAATGGAACAACGGTTGGATTGCGGCATCATAAATACTCCGGAAAACATCTGTGTGCTTAGTGAGAGTTTTTTAACGTTCTCGATAGCGTAAAAGTTAGCTCATATTTGTATGGAATGGGATCGTTTGCGTACGTTTGCCGCTAGGGGCGCTGTTCCAACTGCATACAAAATTGGGCTAACTTTTACGCTAACGATAAAAAACTCGCACTAAGCACACTGGTTAGAGTTTTCGAACGTTTGACCTTACCGATCGTACAATGTCAACGAATGATTTTATCACTTATGCACAAGTAGGTATAGTCTGTTTTTGTTATAATCCATTGTTTCAATAATACTGTTAAAGTATTATTTTTAAATTCAAATCGCGTTTCGTACTTGACTTATCCTTCTTATAAACCGTTTTGTATATTCATTTCACTTGTCAATACAAATCTGCTAAATCACGTGGGCACTTCATCCGTTATACTTTAGGCCATTCTGTCATACATGCAACTTACATGACTTATCTCCATCAAATCTTACGACTTGAGCTTGAGTAATTAGTGGATCATTGTACAACAAGATAAAGGATTGCAAAACATAAATCTTTGGGTCATTGATCCAAACAGACAATGAAGGCGCGAATGATTTTGACGAATTTTCGATTTTTACTTTTAGGGTCCTAATTCAAAGCAATTTTTAATTTCACGGCTCAATTACGTTACGAGATTTTTAAATGAAATTTTCCTCTTTAAAGCAATGCCAGATGCATCTAATATTAAAATGTATTGCATATATATTTAAGATGTTACTGTTGTTACTGGTGGTAGGACCTTTTGTGAGTCCGCGCGGCTAGGTACTACCATCCCGCCTATTTCTGCCGTGAAGCAGTAATGCGTTTTGGTTTGAAGGGCGGGGCAGCCGTTGTAACTATACTTGAGACCTTAGAACTTATATCTCAAGGTGGGTGGCAAATTTACGTTGTAGATGTCTATGGGCTCCAGTAACCACTCAACACCAGGTGGGCTGTGAGCTCGAACAACCATCTAAAAAAAAAAAGATTTTGTAAATTATTTTTTTCAATTCAGTCACGAGTCATAACAGCCGTCGAGCTTAGCATTTTCGTTAATATCAAGGCTCCAGAATACGTTCCGCGTTAAGAAATAGACGAACGCAATGTCTCAAATGTAGTCCGAGGTCGCTATACATAATTCCGCTACAAACAAGTGTCTTTCACTGAAATTACCGTTTTTAATACTTTTGAAAGAAAAAAAAACCTTTACCTTGAATTCTTTGGAACAGTAGAACGACATCAATCGATTGTCTTAGTGATATTTTAGCACCGGTTTTTTTTAAGTTTTTGTAACCATATTTGATGCCTGCTTGATGCTTATCTCAAATATTTCCCATCGAAGTGAATCAGCTTAAAATTATACAAAGCGAAATTAAATGTAATTTGAGAGCATTAGCTTTTATTTTGGCTCGAAATTTAAAAATTGTATTTAAACATTCCAAAAGGTAGGTATTTATTTATAGTTTTATGTAGAATTTACATTACTAAAATTATTTTTTTAAATTTTAGTTTTAAATATGTTAACTTGTTGATCTTAAACCACGAAACCAATAGTAGGAGAAGAAAAACAAAAGAAGTTTTTTTTGTTATTCAACTAATAGTGGTTTTTAGAGCTAGATATCATTAAATTGAATACCTCACTTTGATTATATCAAAGAACTTGTTTAAATATTTGTATTCAAATAAACTAAAACCATGTCAAGGATTAATTTAATGAAATGCACAAAATAGCTAATGAATTATAAATAGATCCGATAAACTATGCTACTTTAATGTCTAATACGAAAAAATAATCTATACAACTAATAATAACTCATTCAACTCAAATCAATTCCTCTCTTCAGTGGTATGGTATTAGTAGTTATAAA